ATTTTTAAAAAATCAAATAGTACATCTTATAGAACTTTTTGGGGTGCTATCCAGAACTCTAACCAGAACTGTTTTTTCAACATTGCATTTCCTTCGTAAAGTCGATTTTTATGTCTATCTATAGAGTCGTGCATCAATGAAATTTTTAATTATCGGTATTTTTAAAAATTCAAATAGTACATCTTATAGAACTTTTGGGGTGCTATTCAGAACTCTAACCAGAACTGTTTTTCAACATTGCATCTCCTTCGTAAAGTCGATTTTTATGTCTATCTATAGAGTCGTGGATCAATAAAATTTTTAATTATTGGTATTTTTAAAAAATCAAATAGTACATCTTATAGAACTTTTGGGGTGCTATTCAGAACTCTAACCAGAACTGTTTTTCAACATTGCATTTCCTTCGTAAAGTCGATTTTTATGTCTATCTATAGAGTCGTGGATCAATGAAATTTTTAATAATTGGTATTTTTAAAAAATCAAATAGTACATCTTATAGAACTTTTGGGGTGCTATCCAGAACTCTAACCAGAACTGTTTTTCAACATTGCATTTCCTTCGTAAAGTCGATTTTTATGTCTATCTATAAAGTCGTGCATCAATGAAATTTTTAATTATTGGTATTTTTAAAAAATCAAATAGTACATCTTATAGAACTTTTGGGGTGCTATTCAGAACTCTAATCAGAACTGTTTTTCAACATTGCATTTCCTTCGTAAAGTCGATTTTTATGTCTATCTATAAAGTCGGGCGTCAATGAAATTTTTAATTATTGGTACTTTTAAAAAATCAAATAGTACATCTTATAGAACTTTTTGGGGTGCTATTCAGAACTCTAATCAGAACTGTTTTTCAACATTGCATTTCCTTCGTAAAGTCGATTTTTATGTCTATCTATAAAGTCGGGCATCAATGAAATTTTTAATTATTGGTATTTTTAAAAAATCAAATAGTATCTCTTATAGAACTTTTGGGTGCTATTCAGAACTCTAGCCGGAACTGTTTTTCAACATTGCGTTTCTTTCGTAAAGTCGATTTTTATGTCTATCTATAGAGTCGCATCAATGAAATTTTTAATTAATGGTATTTTAAAAAAAATTCAAAAAGTACATCTTATAGAACTTTTGGGGTGCTATTCAGAACTCTAACCACAACTGTTTTTCAACATTGCATTTCCTTCGTAAAGTCGACATTTATATCTATCTATAGAGTCGTGCATCAATGAAATTTTTAATTATTGGTATTTTAAAAATTCAAATAGTACATCTTATAGAACTTTTGGGGTGCTATTCAGAACTCTAACCAGAACTGTTTTTCAACATTGCATTTCCTTCCTAAAGTCGATTTTTATGTCTATCTATAGAGTCGTGCATCAATGAAATTTTTAATTATTGGTATTTTTAAAAATTCAAATAGTACATCTTATAGAACTTTTGGGGTGCTATTCAGAACTCTATTCAGAACTATTTTTTAAATCATTTTTTACCTAGAAAATCGATTTAAACTGCGCAGGCTGCCGTTTTATTTTTGTTCATAACTTGGTTAATACAATAGAACTATTTTGATCAATAGTCAGGAACTATAGAACTCTTGTTCTAGAATATATTTCCACTATCAGAACTGTTCCAGAATAAAAAAAGGGTGCTACGTGAAGTTGGCACCCCCATGTCATATCTCCCGAAATTAACCAGAACTATTTTTCTAACTTATCAAGAACTATAGAACTATTGTAAATCTATCCAGAACTCTCAAATTCCAGTTCATTTTTTGAAAAAAGGGTGCCAACTTCACACGAGTTTCGTTGATGATATAAACGAAATTTTATTAATTACAATTAATAAAATTAAAATTAAAATTAAATTAATAAATTATATATTTTACCTAATTTATTATTAAATATTATTACTATTAGTTATTATTACTAATAGTCCAACTTACAGCAATTTCAAATAAAAAAATAATAGTATTTAAGATAATTACAAAAAAACCTAATTTTAAAATGTTTTAACCAAGTTAATGATATTAAATTTCTTTAAAGGCTATAATTAATTAGACTTGGATCAAGGCAAATTAATAAAATTCTGTTTATCTCATCAAGGAGGCCGAAATCGACAAAATATCAAGACACAACTTTTAATCGGCATTACATTTTTTACACTTTTTCGCTAACAAGAGAAAAAACAGTCGGTGGCGTACATGCTTTTTTTGAAAAATATTCCATTGATAACCCATATGCTCGTCATTGATGAATTTTTCGACACTTATTAGCATTAAAATATGTAGCACTTAAAGTGACTTTTTCCCTCAAAATTTCATTCGAATCAGTAAAAGTACTTGGAAGAAAATTATAATAAATCGAAAAAATATTAAGATTTTAATACCCTGTAGCTACGAAACAAAGCAGAATCGGACCTATGTTGATATGAAAAATAAATCTTATTTTTACGTGAGGAATCTCTGCACGAGAGGTGGCACATGTTTTTTGAAACCTCTGTATACTAATTATATTAATTTAAGGATAAATTAATATACCTATTTATTATAATTACAAACATTTCTATATCTCTCTTTAACTATATTCTTATTTAATTTTTTAGTTTCTTTAATTTCCGAATAATAATAATTAAATTATCAGTTATTAGTTACAGTTATACCGGGTGCGTCTCAAAAGTGGCTCACCCCTACAACTTTTTTATTTTTTTAGATAAAATAACGAGATTTGGTATGTTAGTATATGACATAAATTAGGATTGATTGACATATTCAATTGTTTTCGGACACTTCCGGTTTCACCGGAAATGGCCACAACTTTTGATTTTTAAATAGCACCCTTGGTATTTTTTTACTTTATTCGATAGAAAATGACACTGAATAGAATGACATATCATATGTCAACTTTTGACTTTTTCGCATATGGTTTATTTGAAATTGTAACCTGCGGTTCATAACAACAATTTGACTCGAAATACCAAATGTGTGGTATCAAATTATTCGTAAAAAATTGCTTTTTCTAAATATGTCAATGAGCCACCCTCGTTCCATTTGATAAAATTGAAATATGATTATAAATACGATTTGGGCATCTTTTAACCGGCCAGGACAAAACACTAAAAATATTAGACGATCAAATCTATTTTCCAAGGCTCCTTGATTAAAAATTAGTGTTTTTAACACAACGATGGCACTATAGATTGAAATTTAAAATACAATTTGTTTTTGAGCGAATATGTCAAAAGTGTTTTTGAGCGAATATGTCAAAAGTTGACATATGATGTGTCATTCTATTCCGAGTGTCATTTTCTATCGAATAAAGTAAAAATATATCGAGGGTGCTACTGAAAAATCAAAAGTTGTAGTGATTTCAGGTGAAACAGGAAGTGACCGAAAACAATTGAATACGTCAATCAATCTTAATTTATGTCATATACTAATATACAGAATCTCGTTTTTTTAACTGAAAAAATAAAAAAGTTATAGGGGTGAGCCACTTTTGAGACGCACCCGGTATACACATTCTAGAAGGGTATATGCTTTTATATTTATTAAAATTATAACTTTTAAAATAAAACGATGAATTAATATATTGCTTGCTAAATTTAGCACTAACCTATATAAGCATAGCAAGCATTAGGATGAAATGATATACACTTCCCCAATAAATTAACGCACCACAAAAAAATAACCAAAAGTTTAAGTTAAGTTTTTGTCAAAACCACTGATCCGATTTGGACGATTTTTTTTTGAATGATAGGTTATTCTTTCCACGATGTTGCTATACTAACTGTATTTTGATAGGAACCCTTTTTATACTAATACCGGGTGTAGCAATTATAACGTGTTTTTTTAATAAAATTTGTGACACCCTGTAGAGCTGATCAGTTACAGTATCAAGCTAAAATTGAAATCACATTTTAGCCTTATCTTTTTTTACATTTTGTTTTTTTATTTCCTCCATTATCTTCCTTATTACACGGGAAATAACATTTTATAAGATGACATGATTTAATATATTGGTTTTAATTAACATTTTCCCATTTTACTCACTAAAGTAAGTAGCAGGCTCTGGAAAAACACGGATTACCAGTAAATGTCAAATAGAGATGCTTGTTGTCAGTGTCAGTCGTTTTCGTCCTTTTATTATATCAAAAATACGCAACGTGCACGTGAAACAAGAAATCTTACTGGCGAAGAATGTGCTCAAGCATTAATATTGTCTGAGGTAGGTTGGAGCTACCGAAGAATTGGTGAACGATTTAATGTAACTCACTCAACCATTTAACGAGTTATACAACGGTATAGAGATACTGGGAGTAATTGTCGCAGGCCGGGACAAGGCAGGAATAGAAGAACCAATCCGATTCAGGAACGTTTTTTAAAACTCTTAACATTAAGACAACGTTTCGTAACAGCTCGGACCCTTCAAACTCAGCTCAGAGATACTAATGGTCTACAAGTTTGCACAGAAACTAGCATCTCTTTGATATTTACTGGTAATCCGTGTTTTTCCATAGCCTGCTACTAACTTTAGTGAGTAAAATGGAAAAATGTTAATTAAAACCAATATTACATCATGTCATCCTATAAAATGTTTCTCGTGTAATAAGAAAGATAATGGAGTAAATAAAAAAACAAAATGTAAAAAAAAGATAAGGCTAAAATGTGATTTCAATTTTAACTTGATACTGCAACTGATCAACTCTAACGGGTGTCACAAATTTTATTAAAAAAACACGTTTTAATTGCTACACCCGGTATTAGTATAAAAAGGGTTCCTATCAAAATACAGTTAGTATAGCAACATTGTGGAAAGAATAACCTATCATTCAAAAAAAAAATCGTCCAAATCGGATAAGTGGTTTTGACAAAAATTTAACTTAAACTTTTGGTTATTTTTTGTGGTGCGTTAATTTATTGGGGAAGTGTATTATAGGTGCTTCTGATTATATTAATTATTACTACGTTATAAATGTACTAAACCTTGTTTATTAGTTTTGTCTTACCTTCTGTTCTTCCTGGTGATCTTAAAAAACTGTCTTATCCAAAAACAATATATCTATGCACAACACTTTAACACAGCATTAAACATTATGTTAGTGATAGTCACCTAAAAAGTCTTATAACAAAACACATTTTATATAAGAAGTACATAACAAATATAATACACAAAATCTAACGAATATTTAGCAGTTCATACAAATAACCAAGCTGAGTTGATAAAAGTACACCACAGGCATCACATGTGTACTATAAAACAACGATCAAACTTCTTCAATAATAAATTTTGCAAAATTCGGTCATGCGTCCTCGTACAATACAAGCAAATACAAGTAAGAAAAAACAATGGCATTTTGCTAATATTTGTAGTGTTTTTGTATTGAACTTATAAGGCAATTGATATAAAATATCATATATTCGATTCTCACATTGGGATTTCTGAAACGGTAAGAGATACAGGGTGGTTCAAATTAATGCGAAGTTGCCGCTCGATGAGTCCCATATTTAAAAGTTCAAATTTTCTATTTAAAATTAAGATTTAATCTTCTCATAAAATATGTAGATAATAGTTACACTTTTTTCATAAATATAATGTAGGGGTGATTAGAAATACACTCAGATGCAAAAAACGCAACGGAGAAATTTTTGGTCAAATTTAAAGTGTTATATTTTAGTTATTTTAACCCTTTTTTCGTGAATTTTTTAGCAAGTTGAATATAATTATATCAACTTTAATTCGTAAACTAAGTTTTTTATTAACTATAGTATTTGGCGTATTATACAGGGTAAATCGAGAGGTTATATTTTTTCCCTAATTTTAAAACACCCTGTGCAATAATTTCGTGTATAAATTTTCTTAAATTATAATTTTACGGTTACAACCATGACTCTTGAGCATTTTGTTTTTTGATTCATGTCAATACATGCTTTGGTTAATTTTTAAGAGCAAAATGAATTGATCACGATAAATTTGCAATTTTTTTAATTATCATTATTTTTTTATGTAATTTTTTAATATGACGAGACGGTTTTGGTCACTATTGTCGTAACGTCATATTACGCTGCATTGGATACTCTATAGTAAATTAAAAAAAAAAGTTAATGACTAACAATACAGTCCTGATTTTAATAAACATTAATAACGATAACAGAACTAACGATATTAAACAAAACATCTGTAATATTCAAGTATACAAAAACAGAAAAAAAATTGTAAAAAATACCCTAATACTTTGCATTGCCTCCCTTGGCTGCTATATCTGCCTGTATACATCCGTTCATACTGTGATTGAGGCTGCATATATCATATTGCGTTATGTTTTCATATTCTTAAAGATCAAGCGAAGTTCATTTAATGAAGCTGGTACTGCTTCGCGACCTCTAACCCTCCTGTCAAGCATTTCGCAAACGTCGAACATGATGGACAGTTCATAGTAGCTGTGATAGTACCGTATGATCGAATAAAAACGGCGTCAGAGATGGCTATGAAACGACAATCGATGACATTTCCCATATAATTTTACATATAAAATGACAGCGATCTTCATTTCATAGCCATCGCTGACGCCGTTTTTATTCGATCATATGGTAGTATATAGTTCACAATAATCACCAAAGTCGCCTTATTTATCATATTGATAAATAAATGAATAAATAAATGCCTTTATTGTCAAAAAAATTTTCAATTTGTAGACAAAGGTAAACTAAACAAACAAAGTAAACAAACAAGGTACACAAACAAACAAACAAAAGATAATACAAAACATTATACAAATAATATTGTCAGTCTTATTGTTTAAAATAAACATTTATAAATGTTTACAATGTCAAAGAACAAAAAAATAAAAACAACATTCAGAAATATTTAGCTAGTTTATAGTAAATATCAATGACCTCTAAATAAATTTATTTCGATGTCATTAGTAAATAGCAAACATTAGACCAGTGTTTACAAGATCAAATTCGATTTTCAAAATATAATTCATTTATAGCGTAGAAAGCCTTGTCTAGTAAATAAGAGTTCAATGCTTTGCGAAATGAAGAAAATGATGTTATGGATTTGATTTCAAATGGCAGGTGATTGTGCATTTTTTCGAGTTGTATAATATTGAACTTTTAACTAACTGTGAGCGTGGAGTAGGTAGATAAAGATCTTACTCCGCGTTCCTGAGTGGATAAGTGTGAGATGGCCTTTCTTGAGAAGCTGATACATGCTTACGTATTAGGCAAACGCATTCAAATATAAATAAGGAAGGAAGAGTCAATATTTTTAATTTTTTAAAAAAGTCCTGGCAATGAGTTCTGCTGTTTAGTCCCAATGAATATCGAACAGCTCTCTTCTGGAGCTTGAAAATGCGGTTAAATTGAGTTGCACATCACGTACTCCAGAATGGAAGGGCATACCTGAGGTGCGACTCAAAAAGTGCATAATAAACAGTTCTAGCCACTGACAAGTTAAGCTCCTTAGAAACAGATCTTAATGCAAAACAGGCAGAGCTCAATTTTTTCGACAAAGCTTCGATAATCATGTCCCATTTCAGAGAATTGTCTACAACAAGCCCTAAGAATTTTACAGATTTTACGACGTCAATGGAGGTGTTGTTAAGTACAAAAGGCTGCAGCGAGTTTTTATACGACAAAGCATTAGTTCTAGAAATGTTCAGAATGTTCAGAATGTTCAGAATGTTCAGAAAAGTAGTTAGGTGATTCAGAGTGCTTTCTGGCAGATTCGAAAACATTTTTAAAGTTAGCCCGTCGGTCCCAGATGAGGATTTATTTTTGATGGTATTAATTGTACTGCATAGCTCTTCTAAAACTACGGGCGAAAAAAAGAAACTGTGAAGTTTACATTATCATTAGAGAGATATGAAAGTAGATCTTGAGAAGGACATATGGTATTAGTCAAGTTTTTCGCTACATTTACAAAGTAATCGTTAAGGTTCTCAGGTGAGGTATAGATATTGCTAGACGAAGAAGCTTTGTTTCTCAAATCATTCACAATAGACCATGTTTCTTTAGCAACACTACCAGAATTGACTATTCTCCTATTATAATAAAGGTCCTTAGCGGCTCTTATAGTCTTATGATAAATTTTTCTGTATAGTTTTACGTAATTGTGAAAGAAGACACTGTCTGAGAATTTTTTCAAGTGAGATAATGAACCCATGTTTTTAGAAGATATGCGTAGACCTTTAGCGGTCTAAGGTTTATTATGCTTATTTTTGATAGGCTTAAGAGGAAAGGATTTGAACGCTAGACTGGTTAATGTTTTTACGAAAATAGAAAATTCGGTGTCGACATCATAAGACCGAGTATCCCAGTTGGTTGTTTTACATTAGTGGCCGAAATTTTGAGCATTCTTCTCTGAAAAAATACGGCATAATTTACGAGGGGCATTTTTGATTTTGGACTTTATCGAAAATTCCGTTAAAACTACTTCATGATCAGAGAGACCCGAGCTAAAGACGTTGCAGGCGATGGAGTTAGGATCAAAAGATGACACAACATAGTCTATAGTACTAGAACTGGTTTTGGATATTCTGGTAGGTGAGCCTACATGCATGGCTATTCCAAAAGATTCAAAAATGGACTGAAGAAACTCCTGAGCAGCACATACACTAAGAAAGTCAATACTACTTGATAAATATTTTCAAAAAGAAATGATAATTATTGAAAAAATTGCAAATTGTTGGTGGCAAGTTCATATCGCTCTTAAAATTAACCAAGGCGTGCATTGACATGATCCAAAAAAACAAAATGCTCAGGATACATGGTTCTGACCGTAAAATTATATTTTCGGTAAATTTACACACGAAATTATTGCACAGGGTTACACAAAGTTAGGGTAAAAAAACATCCTCTCGATTAACCTCTCAATAACCTCTCGATAACTGTATAATATGTCAATACTAAAGTTTATAAAAAACTGAGTTTACAAATTAACGCTGATATAATTATATACAGTTTGCTAAAATATTCATGAAAATAGGGCTAAAAATAACAAAAATATAACACTTTAAATTTGACCAAAAATTTCCCCGTTGCGTTTTTTTTGCATCTGTGTTTATAAAATTAATAAAGTAGTTTCTGTTTTAATTGAATCACTGTATATCTCTTTGCTCAATTTTTTACCTATGTCATAAAATTTCCGTTCAAAAAATAATATTCTAATAATCTTTACCAAGGGGGGTTTGATATAATATGACAACTTCAAGCTCTTCCAAAATTTTTAAATCTCAAATTCGTTTTATTTTTTTAATTGATTTTTTTTTTATAATTACGGATTTTTTAAAACTAAAATATATATTACACTAAAATACGTAATATCTAATGGTACTAGTTGGTGCCAAAAATAATTCAACTTAAATTAACTACTACTTCACTTAAAAATAACTAGTTAATGTTCATTTTTTGAAAGACAAATCATAGATTTATAAAGGAAAGGTCAAGTTTACGAACTTATTCAGTACGTCATATTGATTTTGAGTATAAGAAGCGATATATTGATATATTACACCATAACGATATTCTTATAACTCGATTTTAGATGCCTAGAAACATATCAAATAATTTTATCTAGTTATGATTCCGAAATCTTACCTCCTTGCGCACCTTATCTCGGATAAATGTGGCAACGCCGCAACAGCACGCCATCGCATTTTTTTCACTCCCACTTAATAAGATCCCTACGCGATCCACTTCTACACTCCACACAGTAGATATTTACATAAAACGAATTATAAACAACTGTCTATTTATTTTCCTATATAATAAGACCAATATTAGTCTTATTAGTTATTAATTAGTTAATTTAACAATTTTAGGATCCTGTTCCGCCAGACAATTGGATTTTACCAAAACTGACAATATCTGATCAAAGCAGATGTCTTCAGCTAAGTTTAAAGTCATTCAGCTCTGAAGATTGTCTTTACATTAATGTATATTCTCCAACAGTGAGTTTTATGACTTTGTTCAGTTTTACTATTTTTCTTTTATATTATACATTCAACTATATTATACAGTCACTATACATTCAAGTTTCCCATATTTTTTACTTAGAACAATGCAAGTGCAAAATTACCAGTAATGGTATGGATCTATGGTGGATTCTTTTTATTTGGTGATGGAGATTACAAAGATTTAGGGCCAGACTACTTTTTAGAACAGGACGTTGTGTTTGTAGACTTTAACTATAGATTAGGTGTTTTAGGTAAAAAGGAGTAGAACAAAAGCATATTTTATTTTTCACGTAGATGCTAACATGTATTTTTTATAGGATTTTTAAGTACGGCTGATGAAGCAGCATCAGGAAATTGGGCCCTTAAAGATCAGATACTGGCACTAAAATGGGTTCAAGACAACATTGAAAATTTCGGTGGTGATAAAAACAGTGTCACGTTGTTTGGTCAAAGTGCAGGCGCTGGAGCGTCATCATATTTATCTTTGATGCCGGAAACCAAAGGTATAAACGAAAAATATATACAGTGTGAGTTTCCTACGATGTTCTCTATGGGTATCTCGGAAACTACTGGAGATAGAGAGTCGGTTAAAGGGGGAAAGAATTGCAGTTTTGTGGGGTCATAAACATGTGCCTTTCAGATTTTTGAAAAAGTTCATGGCTTACTAGATATTTCGAAAAAATCAAATTCTGGCTATTTTAAAAATTGTCCCTAATTCCATTATAATCTATTTTAGACCAAAAAATGTTTTCAGATCAAAGTTGTAGATAATCACATCCCTAATGAGTTTGTGTTCTCCGATTATTCCTAAAGCCATGACTTCATAAAAAGCGCGATTTTTTAAGCTTTTTAGCAATATAAGCTATATGTTTTTTTTTTACAAAATTACTGAGTTATAGCCAATTCTTATCTTTCTTGACTAATTTCACTTAGTTGGCATAGTGTTCTTATTTTGTTATGATTTATAACTTATAAAAAAAAATATAATATAATATATTATTAAACGGCTCTTTACAATTTACATTACACAAAGTAAAACTTAAAAAAATAATATCACTACATAAACTTTAAGATATTTTAGAAAATGCTCAAAAAATCCGTCATTGCTTTGAGTACATAAAATTTCTTTCAAAAAAATCTTTTTAAAACTAAATTTCTAGCTGTTCTCACAGAACGACCGGTCGACTTAATTAGACTTCTCCTGTACCGCCTCTTCGAGTGCCTCTCTTAATTCATAGGTTCTTTTGTATACCTTGTTGTTAACCATACCGCATAAAAAAATCTAAAATGGATAGGTCAGGTGATCGAGGAGGCCCATGCAATTGGTCCACCTCTTTCTATCCCTGAGTCTACATAATTATGATATAAATAATTTTTAACATTTCTTTCATTGTGGGGGGAGGTTAATGTGTCATAATGAAAGTCATGTTGGAACCACTCTATTAATGCGCGAGTATCTAAATTTAACTTTTCATGTCTTTGAAAACCCTAAGTTATGTATTATATTAGTTAAGTATTCTCTAAAAAACGTAAGTAAAGTTCGCTGGTCAACGTATCCTCGAAACTGTATAGCCAAGAAAAGTTGAACCAATAATCCTACACGCTTTTCTTCGTTTGAAAAATTCATATTTACAATTTTTGTTTATTTTAATTTACGAAGTTTGGAAGTGACAGTTTCACATTTCTAAGAGCAACGACAGTTAAACTTATTTCCATGGCTAACTAAGTGAAATTAGTCAAGAAAGATAAGAATTGGCTATAACTCAGTAATTTTGTAAAAAACATATTATAGCTTATATCGCTGAAAAGCTTAAAAAATGGCGCTTTTTATGAATTCATGGCCAACTATGGTTTCCATTTAAAAAACATATGTTTGTGTCATATGTCAAAAATGACAGGCTTTAGAAAAAATCGGAGAACACAAACTCATTAGAGATGTGATTATCTACAACTATTATCTGAAAACATTTTGACTAAAATAGATTATAATGGAATTAGAGACAATTTTTAAAATAGCCAATATTTGTTTTTTTCGCGCACACTAGAATGCAATGGAGGAGAATTGTAAATGCAGTTAATAGCGACAACCAAACAGTGAAGAGGCAACAAAGTAATGAGATTTTTGAATGTTCGGAGTGCGGAAGAGAGATAACATCACGTATCAGGCTTTTCAGTCACAGAAAAGCTCATGACAGGAAACGCCTTGCGTAACCATCTTCTGATGCGTGTCAAATACTCGTCAGCGAGTAATGGCAGTAGTAGTAGTAGTAGTAAGCCATAAACTTTTTCAAAAATCTGAAAGGCGCATATTTATGACCTCACAAAACTGCAATTCTTTCCCCATTTAACCGACTCTCTATCTCCAGTAGTTTCCGAGATACCCATAGAGAACATCGTAGGAAACTCACCCTGTATATGTACTCGTAATAACCATTCTTCTGTCCAAAGCCAGATAAATGTCTCATTATGCCTTTACATTTAGTACACACTCTATAGATAATACAGTTCTGCTAGCCATACTTAGATCAGATAAATACCCTACTTATAGTTTAAATCACAGCCTATTAATACCAACTTGCCGGCTTACTATTATTTACATGGAAATCTACGTACCTACCTTCATTTCAGCATTCTTTTTCTTTCTACATTCTACACTCAGATGCAAACAAAACGCAAAGGAAAAACTTTTGGTCAAGTTTAAAATTTTATATATATTGTGAATGAGTTGAGAAACAAAGCTTCTTCGTCTAGCAATATCTCTCCCTCGCCTGAGAACCTTAACGATTACTTTGTAAATGTAGCGAAAAACTTAACTAATACCATATGTCCTCCTCATGATCCACTTTCTTATCTCTCTAATGATAATGTAAACTTACACAGTTTCTTTTTTTCGCCCGTAGTTCTTGAAGAGCTTCGCAGTACAATTAATACCATCAAAAATAAATCCTCTTGTGGGACCGACGGGCTAACTTTAAAAATGTTTTCGAATCTGCCAGAAAGCACTCTGAATCGCCTAACAACTTTAATAAACATGTCGTTTCAAAGTGGTATTTTTCCAAAATGTCTTAAGACAGCAATAATCATTTCACTGCACAAAGGAGGAGACAAAGATGAAGCTTCTAACTATCGCCCAATTGCACTCCTTCCAACGCTATCTAAGATCATAGAAAGGTTGGTTAAAGGCAGGCTGGTATCTTTTCTGTTTAAGTACAAAATACTTACTGAATATCAATTTGGATTTCTAAGCAACAAGTCCACAAATGACGCTATGTTTTCCCTCCTTAATAAAGTTTACTCCAGCCTAAACAACCATGATTCTACAGCAACAATTTTCTGTGATTTTTCTAAGGCGTTCGATTGTGTAAATCATAAGATCCTAATTAATAAACTGCAGCACTATGGGTTCAGGGGATCATCTCTCGAATGGTTTAAGTCGTATCTGAGCAACAGAAGTCAACTTGTGAGGGTGGATACCACGTTGTCTTCTAGCAAGCCAATAGAATGTGGAGTACCACAAGGCTCAGTCCTAGGCTCTATTTTGTTTCTTCTTTTTATTAACGACATTGCTAACATAAACATCAGTGGCAAAATATGTCTTTTTGCGGACGACACTAGCTTCACTTGGAGCAACAAGGACATCGCGGCACTTCATAGGATTATATATAATGACTTAATTACCATTAAATCTTGGTGCGATTCGAACCTCCTTGACAACACCACCATTGACGTCGTAAAATCTGTAAAATTCTTAGGGCTTGTTGTGGACAATTCTCTGAAATGGGACATACATATCGAAGCTTTGTCGAAAAAATTGAGCTCTGCCTGTTTTGCATTAAGGTCTGTTTCTAAGGAGACTTGTCAGTAGCTAGAACTGTTTATTATGCACTTTTTGAGTCGCACCTCAGGTATGCCCTTCCATTCTGGGGTACGTGTTGTGCGGCTCAATTTGACCGCATTTTCAAGCTCCAGAAGAGAGCTGTTCGATATTCACTGGGACTAAACAGCAGAACTCATTGCCGGGGCATTTTTAGAGAATTAAAAATATTGACTCTTCCTTCCTTATTTATATTTGAATCAGTTTGCCTAATACGTAAACATCTATCAGCTTCTCAAGAAAGGTCATCTCACACTTATCCACTCAGGAACGCGGAGCAAGATCTTTATCTACCTACCCCACGCTCAGAGTTAGTTAAAAGTTCAATATTATACAACTCGAAAAAATGCACAATCACCTGCCATTTGAAATCAAATCCATAACATCATTTTTTTCATTTCGCAAAGCATTGAACTCTTATTTACTAGACAAGGCTTTCTACGCCGTAAATGAATTATATTTGAATTGAAAATCGAATTTGATCTTGAAAACACTGGTCTAATGTTTGCTATTGCTATATTTACTAATGACATCGAAATTAATTTATTTAGAGGTCATTGATATTTTGCTATAAACTGGCTAAATATTTTTGAATATTATTTTAATTTTTTTTTTGTTCTTTGACATTGTAAACATTTATAAATGTTTATTTTAACAATAAGACTGACAATATTATTTGTATAATGTTTTGTATTATCTTTTGCTTGTTTGTTTGTGTACCTTGTTTTTTTTTACTTTGTTTGTTAGTTTACCTTTGTCTACAAATTGAAAAAAATTTTGACAATAAAGGCATTTATTTATTCATTTATTTATTTATATATATTTTTTTTAATTTTAGCCCTATTTCCTTGATTTTTTAGTAAACTGTATATAAATATATTAACTTTAATTTGTAAACTCAGTTTAGTATAAACTTTAGTATTTAACCCATTATACAGTGTTAATCAAAGAGTTGTTTTTTTCCTTATCTTTAAAACACCCTGTGCAATGGTTGGTTGGTTAGTTTTCCTAAATCATTATTTTTTTGTCAGAATTATGTCTCCTGAATATTTTGTTTTTTGACTCATGTCAACACATGCCTTGGTTAATTTTTAAGAGCAAAATGAACTTGCTACAAACATTTTGCAATTTCTTCAATTATCGTTACTTTTGGATGTTACTCTTCATAATGACGAGGTGGCTTTGGTGGTTATTGTTGTATATGATTAAATATGGTTTTTTAGTGTCGAATATTGTAAAAGATTCACTGATCTTCTTGAAGATGGTCGAAATTATGAATAAGTATTCGCTTGGTCCTTGAAGAAGAATGTGCAAACAAAACACACTATATTTTTTGCAGCCTCATTAACATTATGAAACGACGGACGTCCACAGACAGTTATAGCAGCCGGGAGAGACAATATAAAGTATTAAAGTATTTTTTACAAGTTTTTTATTTCTTTGCACACTTAGTTAATACAGATATATTTTTTTTTAATATCCTTAGTTTTTTTAGTGATACTAATATTTATTAAAACGAAACCTGTATCGTTACATTTTAATAGTTTTTTTAAATTTTAATGTAATAATAATAATAATACTTTATTTTGCATGAATATCATTTACAACAAATGTAATTTACAAATAAAAAATAATAATCAAAAAAAAACATGCAAAAAAGGAACTGAAGACAATTAGAATTGGTTTAAATTCAGTTCCTGTCAGATCACAATATCAGCTAGTATAAATGTGTGTTATGTAGCTAAATTATTTTACTGTAACTTATCTACAAATATAAGTAAATTATATAGTAATCCTATGACTAAGAAAATGTAGTATGAAATTCAAAGAAATAAACACAAAGAAAAGTATTTTATACTAAAATAATTCTTAGGTAAAAAAAAACTAAGAGGGAAAAGAACTATCCAGAAAATGTTTTTTAAGTTTATTTTTAAATGCAGCACTCTGAAGGTTTATCATTTCTGCTGGTAAACAGTTGTAGAGCTTGGAAATATTAAATGAGAAACATCTAGTGAACAATGCTGTTTTGTGAGGTGGTGGAGTAATAAGTCCCTTAAATCTAAGGTTTAAGTTGTGCACATCTGTTCTGAATTTTATTTTATTCACCAAGTATGGAAGACACTTCTTAGAAATAACTCCATGAAATAAAACCAATGAATGCATCTTACGTCTGTTTTCCATATTCAACCACTTAGCTTCTTTTAACTTATGCGAAACTGGGATTGGGATCAAATTTTCTTATACCATAAATAAAACGTAGGCAGCTTTTTTGAAGCTTCTCTATTCTGTTAATGTCAATTTTTTCCAGACATGGTCCGTCATATATAACGTCACAGTAGTTGAAATGGGATAAGACAAGTACTTCAGCTAACTTTATCTTTAAAGTTTCCGAAAGTAACTTTCGATGTGGATATAACATTTTTAAAGAGATGTAAGCCCTTTTGATACATTGAGAGACAGGTTCCTTAGCGAAGATTATAATCTATAATTAATCCCAAATTCTTGGCAGATTTAGTAAATTATAATTTTTGTTCAGCTAAACTTATTCACATTACGTCAGATTAAAAATCCCGGTGTTTACCAAATATCATAACAGATGATTTATCTGGATTTATTGCCAGGTCGTGATGATTTGAGACTTGTACTAATTTATTTAAATCGTCATTTATTAAAGTTTGAGCTAATGTCCAGTCATCGAAATTAAACGAAAAGAAAAGTTATGTATCGTCTGCGTAGCAGTGTGCATTAACATTATCTAGGTATAGTATATATTACTTGTATATACTGTAAAAAGTAAGGGTCCCAAGATAGATCCCTATGGAACTCCACAACTAATAACTTCCCTCGGTGACTCCCCTGTAGTAGTTTTCACAAATTGCATTCTATTATTTAAATAATTTAAATTAGACCGGCTGCATTTTCTGAGAAGCCTACATAATGTAATATAGATAGAAGTAGTATATGACTTCTAATCAGTGTCGATACGACATTACGACAACAGTACTTTCAAGACCAAAGTCCAAATACCTCGTGATATTAAAAAATAACATTATAAAGTCATGATAGTTGAAAAAATTGCAAATTTTCTGTGGCAAGTTCATTTCGCTCTTAAAAATTAACCAAGGCTTTTGCTGACATGAGTAAAAAAAATAAAATACTCAGGAGACATGGTTCTGACGGAAAAATAATGTTTCAGAAAAAGTCACTCACGAAATTATTGCACAGGGTGTTTTTAAGTTAGGGTACAAGACCACCTACCTTTCAATTAACCTTGTATAATAAGCCAAATACTAAAGTTTATAAAAAACTGAGTTTATGAAATAAAGTTGATAAATTTATATACAGTTTGCTAAAAAAAATCATGAAAATAGGGCTAAAAGTAAAAATAACACAAATTTGATGAAAAAGTGTTCCGTTGCGTTTTTTTTGTATCTGAGTGTAGTATGTTTTCTTTCATATGCTCCAGACAGCCCTCTGTCATGTTAGTCGCATCTTGATTTTATTGCAGAAATTTGTAAATAACAATTTACATGCATAAATTTACATTCTGACTTAAACCTATATCACTATAAGATTTCCTCAAATTCTTCAAAACTTTCATAATTTCAGTTTTTAAGATTCGCACTGCTTGTAAGTTATTATTTTTCTATCGGATATTAGAGGCGGGCAAAGATTGAACGAGTATTAAAAATGAACAAACGTAAATTGAGGAATTAGTGTTATTTATGATATATGTTAAATATTGAATATGTATTTTAAAATAATATTTTATTTGAAGGGTTATTCCACAAAGTGATATTACAAAGTGGATCGGCGTTAAATCTGTGGTCTTTAGCCAGGCAACCAAGAAGAGCAGCATTTGCTGTAGGTAATTTTTATGGTATTGACACAAATGACTCTAAAATACTGGTTGAGGAATTGAGAAAAGTTGACGCTTTGAACCTGACAGTCGTGGGGCTCTCGGAAGATTTGAGGGTAAGTACGTATTACGTATTATGGTTGATTCTCACTATACCTTTCACATCAGCTCTCTTTCGTTTCCCTTCCGTTTCTATAAAATATTACATCATATAAATGAATAGGACAATGCACACTATCCGTTCCGTTTCCCTTCCGTCCAATATCCTTTCCTTCCATAATTTTTTTTGGCGGATGGACTGAAGCGTGTCGGAAACAGCATTATCAAGTTCTTACATTTGTGCCAGCTCTGTTAACATTTTGCTGATATCTATTTATTCTTTTACCCCTTCATTATATCTATTACTTTTTTCAAATGATACAAATTTTTATAATAACACTTTTGTAATGATATAAATTGTACAATAAAAATTATGGAACTGATACGGAACGGAAACTTACGTGTATAGCGTCAATACAATAAAAAAATACGGAACGGATATGGAATGGATATGGAATGGAAACGGAAGGTAAGTCTAAGTCTTAAGTCTAATTTATCTAGTAGTATTAAAACAGGCGCAATGAAAATTGTAAAAAGACTGACTTGTAAAATGGTTTAACAGAATAATAAGGTTATACAGGGTGTTTCAAAACAAATGCGAAAAACTTCAGGGGTGATTCCTTGTTCAAAATAAAGGGTAGTTTGCTTCATAAACGTTGGGTCAAAAGTCAACCATTAGGGAGATATCGCGGTACAAAGATGGCGGAAAAATAATGTTCTTATTTTTTATCTTGAAAACGAAAAGAGAGACTAATGAAATTTTATGGAAGCACCACTGTTATGAAAACACACTTTCTGGTAATTTTTTCACTTTTTTAAAATGAGTGGAAGGGGTTGAAATAAACTACCCCTATCATTCTAGTTAACGAAATTTAAAGAAAAATCTTATCAAACACATGCAAAAAAATAATTTGGATAGTTTAGTTTGTTTAGAAACTTTTTTATCTCTTGTATTTTTTTTATAAAACTCACCGATTTGAAATTAAAAAATAAAATGTAAAGCATTACATGTCAGGACTAAAAATATTTTTAGATTAAGAATCTAGTGATAATCATGATAATAATAATAATCTAGATAATAACGTATTGCAGTAGGGTAATGTCAAATAAAACAATATTAGAAACATCCTAAAAAGTGACAGCGGCCGACTAGATTTTTTTCTAAAAAAATTACAGCTGCCCACTAGATTCTTTATCTAAAAATGTTGTTTGTCCTGACATGTAATGCTTTACATTTTATTTTTTAATTTCAAATCGGTGAGTTTTATCAAAAAAACACAAGAGATAAAAAAGTTTCTAAATAAACTAAACTATCAAAATTAATTTTTTTTGCATGTGTTTGATAAGATTTTCTTAAATTTCATTAACAAAATGATAGGGGTAGTTTATTTCAACCCCTTCCACTCATTTTAAAAAAGTGAAAAAATTACCAGAAAGTGTGTTTTCATAACAGTAATGCTTCCGTAAAATTTCATTAGTCTATCTCTTTTCGTTTTCAAGATAAAAAATAAAAACATTATTTTTCCGCCATCTTTGTACCGCGATATCTCCCTAATGGTTGACTTTTGACCCAATGTTTATAAAGCAAATTACCCTTTATTTTGAACAAGGAATCACCCCCTGAAGTTTTTTGCATTTGTTTTGAAACACCCTGTATATTAATGGTAACCAGAATAAAGCTCTGTCACACATAAAAGAATTCTACGGTAACTTGCCAGTATAGTAGTCTACTGGGTCCAGCGTGTCTATCCAAATGTAGACCGTTCATCTGTGACGTCGTGACTCTGGACAGTAGAAGAGTCTGGAAGACTTGCATCCAGGCATAGAGACATATCATTCGATTCTGAAACCTCAAATCACATGTATAACTTATTTAATTTTATTATGTTACTAGAAAGATGTCTAAAATATTACGTCAGTCTCTTTTATTTCACTTCCCTATTATATTTGGTACCCAACGTGGGGCCTTAGATGTGTGAAATAATACTACAAATTATACTATTTTTTATTTTACTTCCATATTATACAACCCTTAAATACAACAAACAAACCCTTAAATAGGCCTCTAAGACAGATCTTGTACAAAAGGAACAACCCACTCACAAAACTTTTTAATATTGTAAATAATAATATTAGTTATATTGACAACCTTTCACATACCATTACTGCATATTAGATTGTCACAAATACATAAAAATACATAAAATACATAAAAAAATTCTGGATTTATTTTCAAATTAACAGATTTATTTGCTTAACATACTTTGAATGTTATATGGATAAAATAGGCCGTTATTTTATCCATATAACAAATTAAGTTTTCTTAATTTTTTAATATACTCAATTTTAAAACGGAACATAAATTCTCATGCACATTGCCGTTTTATAATGTTAAATTTAAAGTATTCCAGAGAACCTAACACCTGCTAATTGCAATGTTTTACTTGTAGTAAAACAGTATATAAGTAACGTTATCATAAGTTTCATATTGGTTTTAATGTTTTTAGGAAACTATAGAAGAAAATCCTCGAGATGGCTTAATATTTGGCCCTGTTATTGAACCATCTCATGATGGTGCTGTAGTAACTTGGAAAAGCTACGAAAAAATGGCTTCTGGTGATTTTAACCAAGTGCCGTATATGATGGGATTTACATCACAAGAAGGAGGACAAACCGTAGAAGGTTCTCTATCAAGATGTTTTAAATTAATAATACTAATGATTTTGTTTTAGTTATCGACTGGATTAAATTATACATTCTGGCAACGTTTGATGCTGATCCAGTAAAACTTGTTCCAATTTGTATGAACATTAACGATACCACAAGTAAAAATGCAGTTTCCTTGTTTATTAAGACTCATTATTTCGGAATTATACCAGCCGCGTTTTCCGATGAGGAAATTATACAGGTGAATTTCCATTTAGAGGCATGACATTTTACAGATTTTTTAAAAAATATATTCCACATGATAAATAAAATGGTCTACATATCTAGAATAATTATTACATTCTGAAAATTGTGACATTCTAAACAATATTTTAATATTGTTTTTACGACGTTCTTTTATATGATAAAGAAAATAATATTATCTGTTTCAGTATATCAGTGATGATCAATTTGTTAGACCAGTATATCAAAGTGCAAAGCTTATGTCTCAGTACACAGATGTTTATTTATACCGATTTTCATATTTGGGTGATGTGTACAAATCAACCCGTTCAACTACAGGTAAAGATAAAAATATTTTATAATTTTAATGTTATCGAAATTATTTGAACAAAACCAAAAACTCGTAATACTCCACTTAGTCAGCCCGGTGCCGAATATGTCCATGGTTGACAACAATGAATTTAAAAATCGCGCCCTCGATTACGTAACTGAAAGTTTAATTGGTATCGCTTATACAGAGTGTCCCAGAAATAAGTGTAAATATTTTAAGGGGTGGTAGATTTCGAAAAAAGAAACATATTTTCTCTTTATCGTTTTTCAAATAAGTCAAAAATAACGGAGTTATTTTACTTTGAAAATTTCCAAAAAAAAATATTTTTTGCTAAAATTTTGAGAACCACTGGATCTTTTCTGGATTTTCTTTCTTGTAAATTTAATCTAATACCTTATGTTGCCATATTATAAAGAAATTATGTTTTTTAACTAAAAACTAAAAAAAATCCAAAAAAATTTTCAAAAAATTTCGAATTTTAAAAATTTTTTTTTCGCGAAAAAATAACAGTGATTCATGAAACACGCCTCATAGGCGTGTTCTGAGGTTGAACTATACTACCAGTTAAAATATTTGCACTTATTTCTGGGACACCCTGTATATATGTATTTGTTCATTATTATTGTTTCTTACTTTAGATGTTTATCATGCTGAAGAACTGAATTACTTATTTAAAATTGCTGACAATCCCCAGTTAACGTCAACAGGCGATCTTAAAGTTAGAAAACAGCTAATAAAATTATGGACTAACTTTGCCAAATATTCGTAAGTATAATCTAGTAAGTACCATACGGTCGAAAAAAAAACGGCTTCAAAGATGGCTGGGAATGACAATCGATGTTAATTTTGGCGAGGTCAAGCCCTAGACGTCATTTCTTGGTCCGTACTCTTCTTTATTTTTTAATGGCGCTTACTGCTGAACATCGGTAAAACTAAAATCATGTGCACTCCCTCGGAAAATCATAACAGTGTTATAAAAATCTGAGAACTATTGGAACATGTGGCGAAATTCAATTACCTCGGCAGTTTGATTTCGAAAAATTCCAATATTGACTCTGAAATTCAGCACAGAATTAGCTGCGCCTCAAGGGCATTCTGGAAATTAAAAGACAGGGTTTTCTACTATCATGACTTAAGCACAGAAACGAAACTTGCAGTGTACTGAGCAATATTAATCCCCACCATGATATATCGAAGCGAAACCTGGCTGCCGTACCGCCGGCACACAAACGCATTAAATAAGTTTAGAAATTTTTTAAAGATAACCAACAGAACAGAGACAACTTAGACAACTGTTAAGAATGAACCACTATCTCTCAAATGTATGAGTCTTTGAAAAAGCTAGCTGCGAGAGCGCTGAAGTCATGATTACTAAATCCCGCTTGAGATAGGCTGACCACGTATGCAAGATGCAAGAAAACCGCCTACCAAAATATCTACTTTACGGTGAGCTTGTAGACGGTAAGAGGAAACCGGGTGGACAACTCAAAAGATACAAGGATATTTTCCATGAAAAATTAAAGGGATAAGCATGCAGAATCAGTGGGAGGAAGCAGCGCACAATAAAACGCAATGGAGAAGAATTGTAAACTCAGTTAACAGCGAGAACCAAGAAGTAAAGAGACAACAAAATAATGACATTTTTGAATGTCCGAAGTGCGGAAGAGAGATCACAGAAAAACTCATGAAAGAAAACGTCTTGCGTAACCATCTTCTGATGCGTGTCAAATACTCGTCAACGAGTAATGGCAGGAAGTTTTAAGAAGGTTATAATTTGTTTTTATATTGAATTGTAAAATCTTTAAATGAGTTATTTTTAAATGGTGTAGTTTAAAATTTGAGAAAAAAAATAATTTTTAGGCAATAGATTTGTGTGTCTGGAAACGATCTATACTTTTTTAATCTTTCTATAAAGTGTTGTAGAATATAGAATGTAGAATGAGTAAGAGGGGGGGTTAATCACTGCGACCTTAAAGATCTATTGTGCCCCCCTTCCTTGAGTCATCAACCACATTGAGTCTATAACCCATCATACCCCTGTTGTAGAGGGGACAGGGTATTTCTCATCCTCCTCTGACAACAGTTCTTCGTCCGAGGGTACACACCCTTCCACGGTTGGAGTTTGGCCCTCCGTGCCGCCCTTCACAGTCGAGGAGCTTGCCTCCGGCTGAGAAACCCGTGAGGTGGAGGCTGGAGGATCTATCTCCATATTCTCCACCTCTTTAACTTGGTCTCTCCTTAGACCTGATACCGGTGTTGTCCCGTATCTATAATAGAGGATACGTCCCTCTTTCTCTATTGCCTCCTTGGATTTGAGGTCAATTTCTATTGTGAGGACCTGACCATGACTCTTCTCCCTCGAGTTGATGACTCGCCAACTTGATGTCCTTACATTGAAGTTCTGACCCTGGGTCTCAGCAGGTAGGTGGTGTCCCTCCCCTTGCTCCTCGGCAGAAAGACCGTGATGACCGCCCCTTTAGGGATGTAATAGATGATAATAATTAGTGTTAATTTTTGACATGTTTTATGCCATTTTTTAGTGGATGACGTCTAGAGATTGTCATCGATTGTCATTCCCCAGTCGTCATTGACGTCGTTTTTTTTTTCGATCATACTGTATATTAAAAGTTAACACGTTATTAAAAGCAAAAACTCTATATAGCAACCCAACTCCACAACTGGACTTTGACTTCAATTTGGCCATTTGGGATAAAGTTGACTCAAACAATATTCGCTATCTTGACATTGGAAATTACTTGGCAATGAGTAGTAATTTAACGCAATACAGCCTTGATTTTTGGCAAGAACTATATGACAGTCATGGAGTTCCACCCTATGATACGTACTAAGCAACTCGTACATTTGGCTTTACAAAACAAACTTTTGTGTACATATTGCCAAAAAATAAACGAAGTAAACTTAATTCGATTTTGTTTTTATTTCTTCCAACAATTTACATAATAAAAGTCATATCGTTTATGAAATAATTATAATTCTAAAATTAAATATATGATTTTTTTGGGGTTCTGTTAAAAATACTATTAAACTTCTTAAATGGTGAAACATGTAACGATATGCTTGCGCAAACTTAGATACTTGAACGCGTGTTGAATGGGGCTACAAACGTTCATACATACTTGACAAGTGTACTTGTGCAAGCGTACTTGTATAAGAATTTTGAACGTGTGTAGGAACAAACTTGTACAAGTATTTCGACTTGTGCAAGTGGCATAGACTTGTACGAATTTTCTTCATGCCCCAGTGATTTGCGCAAGTATGCATGAACGTGTGTATCAAACTTGCGCAAGCCTGAAGTTGATTCTAGTAGGTTTATGGCTTGGTTCTTATTTGGTTGTTACCAGAAGATAGATAAAAATGGCTAGTGAACATGAGAAAAGTATGCGGGAGGTATTGGTGGAGTTCATTAGTATTTATAGAGAATCTCTTTGTTTATGGCAAGTAAAATCAAAGGACTATCATAATAAAAACAGAAGAGTCGCATGTAAAAGTTTAATTAAAAAATTGCAAGAAATTGATAAAACTGCAAACCGCGATTTGATTGTAAAAAAAATAAACAGTTTAAGAACAAATATTTAGCAGGGTAAAACTTCAATTCGTTTAAAATCTTAGTATGCGAATAAATATTCCCTTTTAGAAAGCAGTTTTTGCATCAATATCGACGGTTTTTCTTTTTTTCTTCTTGTTTAAGCAGAATAACGAACATCGCACTTCTTCGTCCAGTTTTACCTACTAAAACCAGACTAAAACTATTCAAGTGCGGTTGTATTGTGTGGAGTCAATGCAAACTTGTACAAGTACGTTTGCACAAGTACACTTGTTAAGTATGCATGAACGTCTGTAGCCGCCTTTAAAAATACTATTAAACTTCTTAAATAGTGAAACATGTAACGATATGCTTGCGCAAACTTAGACTTGCGCAAGTATGCTTGAACGCGTGTTGAAAGATTTTTGCGCAAAAGTGTTTAAACTTGTACAAGTTTCAAGAAGGTTTAAATTTTTGAATCCGAAACTTAAGAATGTAATACCGAACAATGTAATCAGTGTTTCAAGGACTTGCTCAAGTGCTCGTACAAGAATTATCAGTTTGCAAGCAAAGTTGTTTAGTGTTCAACACCCTCTACACTATGTCCGAAATATTTCTGGAAATATTTCGTAAAAACATTCCTTGAAAAAAACATTTCGCAAATCATTCTTTGAAATACTTTCAGAAGTAAAAATAAATAGAAATAGACCGAGACACGCCATGATTTGTTGTTTGTTTTTTATTGTTAACAATAAAAAACAAACAAAACACGCGTTTATATTCTTCGTACTACTTTCCGAAGCAATCAAGATTAGCGATGGGAACTATCGAATGAATTAGACTATCGAATGGTTAATGAATGAATGATTTCAACTATCGAATGGTTTCATTCGAATAAAATCATTCATTCATTTGTATACTAAAGCATATGTGACAACCTCGCCGTGCGACTAAATGGTTATCGTAAAGCCACGACTATCGAATGCTTTTGATAAATGAAATTTAGTATTCGTTTGATTTTTGTATGCGTCAGTGCATTATTAGTTCTTCCAAATTTTTATAACTTGCCTTCTAACTACTGTGCTATTTTTGCGTTTATTAAAATATTTAAAATACTAAAGTAGTAGTGTTTTTTTTTTAAATTGACGATTCTGTGCGTGTGCAGGTGGTCAAAATTTTTCCGAAAATTTGTGTGATTTTCCGATCTTTCAATTATTTAATTTTATGCGGTATATGGTCTATTTTTTAATGGAAAATTTTGAGAAGTAACAATTTTTCAGAGAGATGAGGTGAACTTACAATTAATTTTAAAAATACATATGTATTTGTATTTTAGATGTTTTAGTAATATGAATTAGTTGAACTTAATAATCATATTTAAGTAATGTGGTAATGTGGTTATATATCGAAGTAAAAAAAAAGTAAATGGTTATCGAAGTTAAATTTTGCGACGAGAAAATTAAAGTGATTGATTAAAGTTTTACACGTGCCAATTTAAAAAAAAGTTAACGATATTTGTATTTTGTTTATGCTAATTCTCTTACATGTAGATTTTTGCGAAGAAATATTTCATTTATTTTTTAAAGTAAATGCCAGTAAAAGCAAATACTATTTTTAAATACTAATACAAAGTAATAAAATGTAATACACATATATAATTTTGATTTCTAATTTTTTATTTATATTTTTCTTCTATTACACAGAAAATTAATAAATATGTTTATATTTCATGATTTTAAAATTTGTTGTTAATATAACAAATTAGTTCTGTAATTATTATTATTTAATAAACCAACGTTGCCACAAAAAATTTAGAGACTATATTATTTTTAAATAGGATTTAATATAAATAATTTTGACTTCTAATTTGTTGTTTATATTTTGCTACTACTTAAAAAAATGTTTATATTAAATGATTTTAAATTTTGGTGTTAATAGGTATAACAAATTATTACTGTTATTATTATTTATTAAACCAGTTTTGCTTAAAAACATTAAAAATCATTTTCCTACATCCAAAATAAAAAGTATCATTGAAGTGTAACAACAGAATATTAATAAAAAAAATGCAAAATATATAGTCATACTATCCCTAACTAACTATAATATCAAAGAATAATATTCTTTCTAATACCAACTAATACGAATATACGGCAACAGCGCCGTTCATAATGTATTTTTGTGTAAATACTAGCCCCTCAATAAAAAAAATAATGTGTCCTTATCTTTATCTGACTCAAAATCAAAGATGCTGGCTTTTTTCATACCATTGCCACCGACCGCCGACCGCTGTCGGGTTTCTAGGAAAAAAACCTACGTCGCCGGGCGACAACTAAAATCCAGTTTATATTTTACTATAATCGATCCTGACGAATAAATGAATTTTACAAATGAATGAATTTTATAAATGAATGGTTTTTGCTGCCGAATTAATATATTTCAAGGCAGTTGACGCATCTGTTCGATATTTTTATTCGAATAGTTTTCGACGAATGTTTTCTTACTAGCTATCGAATTATTCGAATGAATTGCAACTATCGAATGTTTCGATAGTATTCATTCGATAGTTCCCACTACTAATCAAGATCAAACGTTGTGGTGGCTTCAGAAAAATAAGTAAACATGGAGTATGAATGAATATAATTAATTTGTAATGGAGTGTAATATAATACCACTATATTAAAATGATATGAAAAATCAAAACTAGTGCATTTAGAAAAAAGTTACTGATGGTAGATTAAATTGGCTATTCCTCTAAGGTTACACAAGAATATTTAGTTTAAATAAATTCGTAAGAAATATCATCGTTACAGATATTTTAGAAACGTCTAGGTTTACTTATTTCACTGAGATTTATAAAAAAAAGTCCTTTGCCTGGGGTATCGTCATGTGCACTCCCCCGGAAGATCACAACAATGCTATAAAAATCGGAGAACTATTGGAATATGTAGCGGAATTCAATTACCTCAGCAGTTTGATTTCGGAAAAGACAATATCGAGTCGGAAATTCAGCACAGGATTAGCAGAGCCTTAAGAGAGTATTCTAGAAATTAAAAGATATGGTTTTCTACAATCATGACTTGAACACATAAACGAAACTTGTCGTGTACCGAGCAATAATAATCCCCACCGAGGAAGCGAAATCTGGGTGCCGCGCCGCGCCGTACCGCCGACACATAAACGCATTAAACAAGTTGCAACAGAGTGACCTAAGACAAATGGTTCCACCATGTCTCAAATGTAACGGTCCTTAAAAAGCTAGCTGCGAGAGCGTTGAAGTCATGATTACTAAATCCCGCTTAAGATGCTAGAAAACCGTTTACCAAAATCTCTTCTTTACGGTGAGCTTGTAGACGGTAAGAGGATAACTCAAAAGATACAAGGATATTATCCGCGAGAATTTAAAAGGGACAAGCATGCAATGGGAAGAAGCAACGCACAAGAATGCAATCGAGTAGAATTGTAAACTCAGTGACCAGTGACAACCAAAAAATAAGAAGGCAATAAAGCAATGAAATTTTTGAATGTCCGGAGTGCGAAAGAGAGATAACATCACGTGGCTTTTCAGTCACGAAAAGCTCATGAAAGAAAATGCCTTGCATAACCATTTCTGATGCGTGTCGAATACTCGTCAGCGACTAATGGCAGTAGTAGTAGATATCGACACGTTGTGGAGACATTTTGAAATCAAACGAAAACGAACGAGACAACAGGAATTGCCAAAAAAATCCTCCCACGCCCTTCTCCGCTATTTTACGAGGAGTTTTGAGGCGCTATTAAGAATCGAAAGTAGGTCGAGCCAACCGGAGGTAAGCAGAAACGCGACAAAGTTGCGACCTTGACCTGCTTCGGACTATTCTCCGAATAGTGTAGAGGATGTATTAGGATTTGCAGAGCGAATTTTTTGACTTGTAGAAAGGTTGTCAAGCTCTTGCAGTAGCAGTTGTTCGTCTACCAACTTATGAGTTTTTTTTGACAATTTTCGAAAAACAGAGTGTTTGTGGAACGTTAGAGGTGTAAATTATATTAAAAATATGATAGATGCAGCCTCTATGAAATCATTTTGAAAAAACTTTATTTCAATTTCTTTCTAGATTTGAATAAGCTTTTTTCTTACTTTTTTTGTGCCACTGATTTGCACTGTGCATGGATTATGCAAATAAGTGAATCGGATGACTAATCAACCGTCTTGAAACGCCTTTGTGGTTTTCTCAATTTTAGAGAGTTGTCTTTTTATTCAATGGTATTTCTATTAATTTTAGAGAAAGATATATCAATGTAGTGATACATCACATTTTCTTGATATTTCTACTCTACTTATTAGCACAAATTAGACAGATTATAAACTTATCAAAAAAGCATTGTTTTTCGTGGTTCCA